TTAAAGTAACTAACATCGTAACTGAATCGTAACACAATGATTACAAATTACAACGGACAACAAGTTGTAAGCGCGTCCATGAGTTACAAGTTGTAAGATGCAGATTAATATGAATATGTTACATAATTTTACATAATATGTTTATAAAAAAAACAACAACAATCCTGCAAGTTCTACTGTCAGGCCCCACATGCATCACAGCGACGCCAGGTTTCATAGCTGAGGTGTTTATTCTGGCGTCCTTGTTCAGCACACTGTAGCTTGTGCAGCTGAATCCCGCTCCAAAGGCAAACAATCCTTCCGGCAGAGGGCAGCTGGCTTTGTGGGCAATACAGAACCTCTTCTCATCGTTCCGCAGGACTGTGCAATCCTCAGCAGCAGCACGTGAAACTGTTGCTGACATGTGACATGACATGGTGACTCGAACAATGCCAATAACACTGCACAACTGAATGCAAGTGGGCCGGGATGCCTTGTACATGCACGCATCGTGTTCCATCCCATTCTCGGGTTCCCGCATTGCGAAACGTTGCTTGAAGCCTATGCTCTCGCACCCAAACTTCACCTGAACACGCTTTATCCAGCCACCCCGCCCGGCAGACCAGGAAACAATACCCACCCGTCACTGCACAGTGATCCGTGCCTCGAGGGGTGCAGCCTCTGGCAGTCTGAACACCTTCTGGAGCGCAAGAACCGCGTGCTCGAAGCAGAGCTCAAACCTCTCGGGCGAAGTTGCCGCACGGCTACCCTGCTGCAAAGCTGATGATGCAGCCAACTCACGTCAAGCTACGGTGTTCTGTGCACGTTTTCATATGAGGGATCGACGTAGTCAGGTGCATTAGCTAGCCACGGCCACTGTCCATACCCTCCATATAATTATGATGATTCAGTGATTACAATTTACTGATAGGTGTCATGGGCTGTCGCAAGCATATCTAGTCGCAAGCTCATCTATCTATACATAACAGTAACATATGTGTTATATTAAGTTATATTATATAATTATATCAAATTATATCTGTATATCACCTGTGTATCACTGTATATCATACAATGCATCATATAATTTGACATAACATTTATATAATATTATTCACATAATTATCATATAATAATAATTATTATTATTGTTAGATTATGTAATAACACTATTACATAGCCTATTAAAACTAACTAATAGCAAAAGTTCTAGATTCCTCGGGCTCGTAGATAAAGAGCCTATACAATTCATGGATGCACACATGATACCTATTGATACCTATAATCTGGGTAAACTGTATAATTTATCTGAATTTATCTGTATAATTTATGATACCACACGAGGGCCACAAGATACACAAGTAACATATTTAATATAAAATTATAAAAGTCATAAGATTCCTATGAGCCTACGCTAAATTCATCCCGTCATCCGGGTAAGCTGCAGCCTTATGGTGAGGATCCGTGCTGTTATCGCCGATGTCGATACCTTCAGCTTCGGGGCTTATTGATTCATACAGATACAGTCCAGTACATACACTCGCAATGCTTTATAATAATATAATATAATATAATTAATATA